AAAAAAAACATAGTTGGAAAAATATAATACAATGTCATAAGGTATATAAAAAAAATAATACATACAATGATTAAATTAACTAATAATTGAGCAAAAGTCCTTTCAGATGTTGCTTATCTACTGAAATTAGATATGCACAGTTAAGATAAGCTATAATAAAGAAGTTACTGTCATTTTGTCTTTTATTTTCCTCTATAAATTGGGAAATCCTGACAAATCTTTCCAGAAAACACTCCACAGGATGCTTGCTGATCTTCTTAAAAAACAAGTACAGTAATAGAAGATGTCCTTTGTGTTCAAAAGTATGTTAAAATGGCAAAATGGATACTGCAACCTTTCACCTTTTTAATATATCCCCAGTATCCTTAATTATCTTTTGCAGCCTGCAGAAAATGTAACGGTGAAATGGTAAGTACTGGAGCCTCCACTGTTTGATGACAGCAGGGGTGTTTTCATTGTTGTACTTTCCTACTGTTTAAAACTGTCTCTACAAGCTGCCAGGAAAGGAACAAGAGTAATCAGAGTTTTCTCCTGTCTAGAGCACAGATTGCACAGTGACAAGTGCTCAGCAACATGCATGCCCCTTCACACTGCTGGTGTTTTACTTTTCAATCAGTAACACAAAAGACAATTTTGGCTGTTTGGAAATATTTTGGTCACAAAGACTAAGACCTTTACAGTTTAGAATTGAGAGGCTCTTGCCCTTATTAAGGTAGCAAACTACAGCTGGGAAGTTACAAGTAACATTTATGCTAATTTGGATTGCAGCTGTCAGTTTCTCTCGTTGAAAATCTTTGGTTGTGAGATTGAATCGATGACCTGTGGTCATACTGTGAAACAGGCTCATTGCCAGTCAACAGCGCTCTCACAACTAAAGATGATCTAAGACAAATATCAAGCAGAAAAATCATCCAGCATTGCTGCTGCTTCTTGTCTTCTTTTGACTAGCCCTAAATGCTTCCAAACCTTTCTCTTTTACCTCAAACCTCTTCCCTCTCTTTTCAGTGTCCAGCTCAAAGAACAACAACTGTACCATCAATAACTACAGTTAATTTAATCTTGAACTGATGTCTCTGTTGGACTTTTTTTGACATTAATCTGTTGCAACAAGAGTTACTTTTAAGATTTTCTTAAAAGTTTCTTTGACATATTTAAGCTCTGTATGATTTCTGGATTTGCACACTGTGTGTTGTAGTTGCAAGCTAGCTATCTGAGCAGATATTCCAAGTAATTAACAAGCATCAGATACAATATAAATAAAAAAAAATGGAGGATATAAACTACTTTAAATGGGATGCATATTCAACTTTAAAAGATTAGGAGAATGACTTGAAGAAATTACTGATTGCTTTAAAAACTGAGAATTTAATAATTAGTTCAATACTTTAGAGCAAGTTTTCTGATGAGGGTGGAGAATGAAAAAAACAAGATGTCATGCACTGACAAATTAATATTCATCATAAAAGGATGTAACAACACTGCTCATTATTTTTTTAACCTAAAATCTGATCTGTTCTCAGTGGTGTTGTTAATAATTTACAGAAGCCAATGTTTCTTCTCTGGTGATCATTTGCTGCCAAAACAGAGCAAATATACAGATTGATCATTTGTTGCAATCAAATCATCTCAATTCAGCTTTCATCTCAATTCAGCTTTCATCTCGATTCATAGCCTGTTACTAACCTGTGAAAAATACTCCACTAATTGCAGGAATAAAAATGTTCACTCTATGGAAGCCACAATTTAAGATTAATATATTTTTACGTGCAGCTGTAAACAGCACTTTAAGTAGTCATGTTCAGACATGTCACCTTCACATGGACATGTTCATAAACATGATTATCAAAGCAGGCAACATAATTTTAGCTACACTGCTGTCCAGTTGTCTGAAAAATACAACTCACTGCTCCAGAAACAAACTTCTGTTGCTAATGTATTGCAAATGCAATCAATCTTACTGCAACGCCACAAGGAATAATGCAACTAGAAAACATTATTATTATTATGACTGGATTATAGGAATAGTTGTTGCTTTTGATTTTAAATTTAAAAAAAAAAACTTGAATCATGGTATGACATTTCTGCTTAAAACTTTTGTGTTGATACTGAGATACTGTGATTCCTTCTTGTTTTTATTGAAGGTTTTCATACTGAAAACATTCCTCCAACAATGTATTTTTCACTTAGTCTGCATCATCCCTATGAACACTGGGGTCGACTGTCCTGAAGGATTAGTTTCTTCAGGCACTTTTAGACACAATAAAGTCTTTACCCAAGATGAAAAACATTATGGTTTTAACAGCAAAAGCTGAAATGAGAAATAAAAACATGGCATGATGGTGCTGTACTGAGTGCACTCACGTGAATTCAGTTCAGTGGTAACATTAACAGGCACACTCTAAGATCATTTGCTCAACTGAATGTTTTTGGTGTTGTAAAAGTAACTCAGAAAAAGAAAAGGAATATATAAAATCTCCTCCCACGTATTCTGTGTGTCCGTCTGTCCAATTCATGCATTTATGGCTCAGACCTCAGAGCTGTTGTGGCAGTCCTGCATCCTCACCACCAGCATGGGTTCGGTGCTGACAGAACCTTTCACCACCTCCCGCACTCCCTCGCTCCATGCCTCCTTCCCGTCCTTTTGTCTGGATTTCAGTACCAGTGCAATGGTAACAATAATGAGGACTGTCAGCAGCAGCCCCACCAGGACCCCAACAATGCTCACTAGACTTTCCTCTTGGTCGTCAGTGTTCAGCTCACCAAGTTCTCGGTCATCAGGGAACAACTCATCTGATCCCCTCAACCTTCTCTTGGTGCGGTCTAAAGCAATATGCATAATGTTGGTCCCTCGGTTGTTTTCTACTCCGATATCTTCTGCGACTGCTGGGATTTTGTTGTGAGCAGATCTTTTTCTGCGATGGCTTTTTGTGCCCGATGATGTCAGAGCGGAAACAAAAGAGTGGTACTCTAGGCTGCGTCTCCCAATGCCCCTGTTGGTGTTCTCTTTGGAGCGAACGGTGTAAATGGTGTGTATAAACCATTCGCGCCCTGCAGCAACCTGAGGATGAGAATAGCTATGAACACTAAGAAAAACGGTCTCAGTAATTCTGCATTCTCTACATTCTACTGCATAAAGCACATATGTAAAAACATTTTGTTTACTATCAAAATAGTCACATTCACAGCCCATACTTTCCTGGAAATAGACACATACTGTTTTTTTCAGTGATACCACAAGATATTAAAGACAATTTAGTCAGTTTTTAACTCCAGTCCTTATGTGTTGGTTTCCTGCAACTTTTAGATGTCTTTTCTGGTCTAACACACCTGAATAAAACGGCTTAATTGCCTCCTCAGCATGCAGCCATGTTCTACAGAACCTTGCTGATGACCTTAACATTTTATTCAGGTGTATTGAAGTAGACACAAAAACGCAAAGTTGAAGAACATTGATCTTCAAGGATTGTAAGACCCCCGATTCAAAACACTAGTACATCCATTCTTCTGCCTCAAGCATTTACAGCATGGAATCTCCTCTGGTTCTTATAAAAATGGTTAATGGATTAAATGGCAGAAAGGCTATAGCTTCCATCAGTGAGACATAGCATACCTGGAACATGGCTGTAGAGTCCAGTCTAAACCCATCAGATCCTGACTTTCTGACAAGAGATACAGCTGATGGGTCGTCTACTGCCAGCACCGCATTGAAACTGACATCTCCAAACACACGTGCCTGAGTCTCTGGCTGGGCCTTGTCCTGGCAAGTCAAACGATATTGATTTTTAGATAAAAGAAGGTAGAGAAAAAAAAAAAAAAGGTTTCTCAAAGAGTCACACTTTTAAGTTTTAAGACTTTTGTTTACTCACAAGAATCTTGAATCTGTACAGCAAGGATGGAGAGTCAGCGAGACAGCCAAATTCAAACTTAGTTGGATTATATTTGGGCACATAGCCATCAGCACCAGTGCAGAGAAACACCTTCTCTATGCTGCAGAAGAAAGAATCTCCCAGATTCTGCACTGGATCCACCATGACACGACCATATATTGTGTCACCTAAAAGAAGCAAAGAAAGTGTCAATTCTATACGCCAACATTGTAAATCTTGAATGGCGTTCAGCTTTGCCAAATGAACACAGGAAATGGGAAGTCTCACCTTCAGAAAACGTGACGTCACTCTCCTGTTCAAAACCCATACAGCCATCAGAAAGCCAGATGCTCTTCTTGGACAGCAAGAACATCTGAGTATTCAGACTAAATTCCACTGCAACTGGGTCGCTCACCTACAGAGAGATTAAGCTATGTCAGTGAGTAATGACAAAAATTGAGAGTGAAACAAACGCAAATTTTTCATGATTGGATTTTCCTTCAAAGGATTACACTTACTTGCTGAAATCTAATGTCGAGATCAAAAGTGAGATATTCTCTGGGATTGCAAACAGGTGGAACCGTGTATTCCTTGTTCTGAGACGTTGTACATGGGATCAAATTCATTGTGTATGTTCCAGAATAATCTCTGATCTGTATATGAAAAATACAAAAGTAAAGGGCTTTCCAAAAATTTGTTTGTTTAAAAAAAAGGAAATATTACATAAGACCAGTTAAAAACAGGTTTTCATAGAATATTTCTCGAAAAAGGCAGAAATACCGCCTCTTTGAATTGAATTTCAAAAATAAACAAACTTTTCAGTTCTATAATTTTTGGGGGGATGCATCTGTGCTTTATATCAATATTTTATATAATGTTAACAGCACTCAGAATAATTGTTGCTTCTCTGTTAAATACAATCTATTACAGGTTGCAGATGTTTAACACTTTCGAAGAAGTACAATAATACCTAAGGTTAGCACCCAATGAGTCTCATACTGTCCTAATCATGGTATGAAAAAAACTGCATGCCCTCTTACAGCAAAATCGGAGAGGAAGGTCCATTGCTGGAATGGCTGGTTGTAGGTGGGCTCAGTCCTCACTAAGGTGAGGTTAAAGGTCAGGCCTGGGTGGTCCACACTAATCACCGTGGATGACATGGATGTTGCTAGAGACATTTTAAAAAGTTTAAAAGTGATATCAGCATCAACAATATTTATTTTGGTTTTAGGAATCAGCAAATCTCATTGTAAGATCATGTCAGTCAGTTTTACCAGTTCTTTCGATTCTGCCTGAAGAATGAGACTCAACAAACAGACCCCTGAAATGAGCTTTGGTGCGGAAATTCATCACCAAACGTCCCTGCTCATTGATGCGCATGCTGGTAGGATACAACGATCCTATGAAAAAAAAAATAAAAATA